TCGGGGAAGCTGAAGAAGAAATAAAGAAAGAGAGAGAGAAGGAGGAGGAGGACCATGAACTTTAGAGTAACGTATGAACATTAGAAAGGTTATTATAGATGGGTGTGAAAGCTGACAGGAAAAATTTTTTGATTTGCTTGAAATGTGGCACTGGTGGAGAGCTTTGTAGATACCCTGGCCTCCCAAAAAGACAAACAAGGATGGCATGTAAAATAAATGAATCAATAGCAAATACATTCTGCTTTGTCAGCTGTGTCCTTTTTTGGCAAACAGGACAAAATCAATGTAAAAGTATAAAGGGACACCCATCAGAAGTCTCAACCCATAATAACCCATAACAGAATATGCCTGCTTTCCGGGACATGTTATCCCTGAGTCAAAGTAGCTATTGTTGTGGAAGGATATTCCAAATGAAGATCACATCATGAAACAAAATAATTTCAAACTGGAAGGAGGGCGAGAACTATTCTACTACATATCTCTTTCATCAATTAGCAAATTATATTGGTACTCCCGCCTCCTCACTCCATGCATCTGTGTTGTGTGTCCACAAGAGCTGAGGCAATGATAAATCTGTTGGTCTTAAAGCAGAACACCTCATACATATTATTTTCCTGCTAAAGATTAGCCTAGTGACTGCTGTGGAAATTACCTCAATGGGGATGCACCGGAAAAAATCCTTCTCGGATATCACATCACTGATGAGGCTTCTGTTGTGTGCTGCGTATTCCAGCGTGGCGCTCAGTGTCACGGACTCGTTCAGGTGGTTCAACTGGACGCAGATGTTCTCAGGGGTCTCTGTGCGGATCAGGAGGGGAACCAGCACCAAATATTGTCTAGAAAGAAGGGAAAAGAACAAGGCGGTGAGGACTCAGTAGGAAGCCCATGGGGTGCTGGGATCTGGGAGGTGGTGGCTCTAGTTCCCTCTGGGATGAGCGGAAGATGAGGGCAACAGATTTATGGAAACACAAGGATCTGTGAGGAGCCCTGCCGGTGCAGTTGGAGCAGTGAGGATACTGGATTAGGACTTGGGGGATCTGAGTTCAAATCCCTTGATCTGCTAAACTCACAAGTACCCTTGGATGGCCCTTTCAGCCTGGCCTACTATATGGAAATGCTGTGAAGATAAAGTGGGGACGGGAAGGACAGACATGGGAACTACTTTGAGGAAAGATGAAATAATGTTCAATAACATTATTTTTTTCCTCCTCCCTCCTCAGCCCTCCCTCCTTGTGTGCCATGTCTTACAGCTGCACTCACTGCCAAAACAACAAAGCCAAAGAAAAGGAAATGGCTAGAAGTCCACTTCAAGTTGTGAGGAGATGGCTTTTGTAGCACTTCCACAGTTTCACAAGCCCCACGGCCCAGCATGAGATGTAGCCTGTTGTTTTGGCTTCCAGAAGACCTCTTCAAGGTTGCAGACCAAGAATTGATCAACACTGGATCCCATCCCAATTGCTTGCCGGCCTGGGAACAGGAGACTGGACTTTGGAAAGTTACAAGTTGGGTTTGGACTTGCGAACAAAGGACTTTGCGCTGATTGGATACCATCACGATGCAGAGACTTTGATTTAAGTTATAGAAAGGAGGGCTAAGTGTGTGTGTGAGTTGGCGAAGAAAAAGGAGGAGGGAGTGACAAGTTTTATAGCCTTCCTTGATTGATTGGGAGACTTAGCAATGATAAGATAGAATAGCATTGTAAGTAGTCAATCCATTAAAGTCTCATTAGCTAGATGTTTACCGTTTTATTGGGGAATTGCTTTCGGAAGCTCATCTAATCTTTAGAGGCTTGGCATTTTAACAGTACAATTTGTAACTCTTTTTAATATCTTATTTTTTACAACTTTTTACTCTTTTTAAAATAAACCTTATTTTCTATTTTATCCAAGTGGGATCTTTGGGGGAACAAGGGTTTGAATGTCTGAACAAAGTGCCTTAGACACAGGTCTATGTTCGCTATTTTTGTTCTTCGGGTGTCCTACCTGGTCAGGATGATGTGCAAGCCTTAAAGCACACAGACAACAGTACGTATTTTATCCCAAATTAAGGGAATAAGTGGAAATCCAGGCTTAGAAGCTTGCCCATTGTTGCCCATTCACGCACCTTCTAGGTTTCACCCAGCCTAGAATTCAACAGGTGGTGGATTTGGGGAATTAAAGTTGGCACCTTCCCCTAGTGGAATAGCACCCTTTAAGGAGGGGCATTCCTGACACATGTTTTGAAAAATGGACATTTGAGAATGTTAAATGATAAGGGAGGGAATGTCTGAGAACTATTTAAAAGCTGAATTGCGACCCTGCTAGCTCCTCAGAGCTGCAGTTCATGGGACTGCTTCCTCTGCACAGAGGGTCAAAGCCTGTGGAAAAATAAACCAAAAAAATCACCTTCTTCAGGGCCTCCTGCTGCCCCGAGGCTGCCTGTTGCTCACCCCTGGCTTTCTGTACAACAGTGTCTTATTTCAGCAGAGCAGTTATTTCTAGTTGGGAACCAGGTTCAGGAGGGAAAACAAAAGCAAGAGTTTTTCACAGGTTGAAAGAGAGACCTCTGCTTACTTAGTACTGGACACTTCATCGCCATCATTTTAGAACTGCAAAGCTGGAAGGGACCCTCTGGATCGTGGGGTCCAGCCCCTGTCAAGGAGACACTGTGGGGAATTTAAATCCCAACCTCTGCCTCTGCAGCCAGAGACCTCAACCACTGAGTTATCCAGCAGTTAATTTCATCCTCAGTAGAATCAGTCGCCAAAATCATATTACTTCCATGCACCCGCATAAGTCAATATTCACATGCAATGGTGAATTGCTGCTAGTTACGGAGTTGAGGCCTGCCCCCCCTTGTGCCAAGTCATGTGACTGGTGTGCCCTATGGAATGCAAGCTGGGACTTCTTAACTGGCAGCAATTCACTGCTGTGCTTTTTTTTAGGGCATTTGGCTCAAGGCAGGACACATTATTCATCGTTTAGTCATTTAATTGTGTCCGACTCTTCATGACCCCATGGACCAGAGCATGCCAGGCCCTCCTATCTTCCACTGCCTCCCAGAGTTGGGTCAAATTCATATTGGTTGCTTTGATGACACTGTCCAACCATCTCATCCTCTGTCGTCCCCTTCTGCTCTTGCCCTCACACTTTCTTAACATCAAGGTCTTTTCCAGGGAGTCTTCTCTTCTCATAAGATGGCCAAAGTATTGGAGCCTCAGCCACATTATTAAGCTACTGCAATGCTGGCCATAAAGTAGGAAGAGACCTTCAAGGTCATCTAGTCCAACCCACTGCTGAGCCACCTCTCCTTGGCAAGAGTCCCTCAGTCAGGTTGAGTCCAACCCTTCCACGGCGGATGATGTCTGCCCCATTAAGAGCAAGTTCTTCCTCACATTTCCCACAATCCCTTGTCTGGACTTCTGAGCAGGCTGGAGAACTTGAAAATGACGGATCGTGTCACCTGTTAATTGTCTCTGTGGCAGTTTAAAGGAGTTCAGCTCTTCCAAAAGCATTAGCAAAAAGAGTTCCAAAAATAAATTTCCAATATAATTGCCTCTTGCTGGCAATAGTGCTTAACAGTGGCAAAAGGCTTTACTTTTTTGTGCTGCTAAGGAACATTCCTGGCCTGACTTCTTATATTGCCTATAATTCTCTTATTATTAATAATTTTTTAAGGGAATATCTTGGTATGGATAAGAGTGTGGCACAAAATGGAGGGGAAGGGGGGATAGGGAGGGAATTCTGTCAAAATGTTTCAAAAACGCCTAAAAGAAACCCCTCCGAAAGGCAACTTGGTTGTCTGGGTAGTTCAGTGAGTGAGGCAGAGGTTGGGAGTTCGAGTCCCCACCAGGCCTTCTGTGAGTCAAGCCAGCCTGGGTGGCCTTGGGCAAGCTGCGCAGTCCCAGGGCGTCCCTCAGAAGAAGGGAAATGGGAATCCACTTCTGAGTATTTTTCACCTAAAAAAACCCCTGAAAAAGGGTTACCATAAGTTGGGGTTGACTTGACAATACACAATTATTATTATTCCTAAAGGCAAGATATTTGCTACTTGTGCTAATAAATATTCATTTTGCCACTCTCTCTACCATTTTAATGGACCACTTTGTCATCCCTTTGTAGCAAAAAAGTAAAAGTAAAAAAGAAGAGTTGAGTGAGTAATAACTCCTCACAGGTAGCTTCCATTTACAGGTAAAGCTTCTTGCTTTGCACCTCATGTGTCACTCCAGAGCTCCGGATCGGCCCTGCGTTCAGGCCGAGGGAAGAGCCCGGCCTTCTCAGGCAGCTGAAGAGTCTGGCTGTCACCAGTCTAGCAAATACTTAGCTATTTTTACTCTTGTTATTTTTACTCTTACTGCCAGGAAAAGGGAGGGCCGGTTGCAAAAGCAGCCAAAATTAGGTACTATGCACCCTGCCTTTGGAAGCGATCCATGCCATTCACTGCTTTGACCCAGGCAGCAAAATGTCTTGGGCCACCCTGCCTTTCAATCTTTCCTGCTACGGATTGGTCTCCAGGCTTCTCAAGTCAATGCAATTAAAGAGGCCAAGCAGGGCTGTGGGCAGGCCCATGGATCCAGTTTGGAGACCAGTTCAGGGCACTGGAAAGCATCCCAGTTCAGCCCGGGCTCCACCAGATCCTCCTAGGTGACGCTCCTCCAGGGGGCCAGGGTGGAGGAGGCCAGGAGAACATCAACTAGACGCTGGGCCTTCTTGCCGGTGGCCCCCGTCCTCCCTTTGGAGCCAGCTCCCGGTCAAGCTGCGTCCAGCCCATCCTTGCCCACCCTTTAAGAGGCTGCTGAAGACGCCGCTCTTCCGAGAGGCTTTCGATTCCAGTCTGGTCTGGATCTCTTTTGCCTCTTGCCCGGTCAAGTTACAACGAAAAGGCTGCACCGTCCTGGGTTTTAAACTCAATATGATTTGACGTTTAGGATGTTTGCTGCTTTTGTTATTGTGGTGCGCGATCTTATTGCACGTGAACCCAGAACAGTGCAGAGCTCTATTGGGGCAGTATATGAAAGGATGGAAGAAGGAAGGAA